TGTGTGTGTGTGTGTGTGTGTGTGTGGCGAGGTTGCTGTCTCGGGGTTCAGATGCTGCTTTTCTTCCCTAGTCCCCTCCTCCCCTCTCTCCCTTTCTCTTCTGGAGGTTGGCAGATTCTGAGAAGCCACTCTGGGCCCTCTTTCTGTCTGCTGTGTCATCTCCCCTGTGGAGTGTGAACACTCCATGCTGGTAGTTCACTCATCACTCAGTCAGCATCTATTAAGCGCCTGTTGTGTGCCAGGCACTGTACCTTTGGATGTTTCTATGCTTGTGTTTCAGAGTTTCTTCTCAGCTCTCATGCTCTTGTTCCATAGTTCTTTCCTTGAGCGTCCTCGTTTATAAAATCATTTTAAATCCTTTTTTAAAAAAATAACATTTTCTTTTAGGAATTTTAGTTGAGCTGGTGCCCACGTCTTGTTTTTCTTTAATCCTTTGCTCCTTATGGACGTTTTGGAGCTTTTCTCTTTCCGGGTTTGTGTCTGGGAGCCTCTGCAGCCGCTACCGCTCTTCATGGTGGGGACTTTCTTTGTTTGCTCATTCTTCTGGCTTTGTTCCTGAAATGGGACTTTACCTCAGGTCTGGGCTTTGTGCGTTTCTGAAGGAATGACAGAACTTGGTCCTGCCTTGCGTTCTCTTTGGCACTTCTGCAGCGCTCCCTAGGTGTTCGGTGCTGGCTTCTCCAGGGATCTCTGGGCGGCTCGGGTTGGGGACCCGCAGCTTTTCCTTGTGCCCTCAGCAGTTTAACTGAGGGCAGTCTGGTTCCTGTCCTCCTGATCTGAGCTTTGTGTGCTCCTGAGCTCAGTTTAGGTCAGGGCATCACAACTGCAGGCTTTCCCTTGGTTGGAGCTCCAGAAGTCTGCTGCTGTGTTGTTGTCCCCCTACCCTGTCAGCCAGCTGGAAGGCACTGCAGGTTCAGGTCACACGGTGGCCAGCACAGGCCCAGACCAGGCTTGGGACTGAATTTGGGTCCCCCCCTTCGTAGTCAGAGCCACATAGCCCTAGCTGCTGCTTCTGGCCCAGGACACACTTTCAGGCTGGGTCTTTGCTGGATCCACGAGGCCCACAGCCTGTCCACAGGTTGGCCTTTCTCTACCCAAGTCTGTGAGCAGGGTCAGAACCAGACAGCTGTAGGCTGGCTTCTGAGATAGCTCCCCACAGGATGTGTGATGGCCCCTTTGGGCAACCCAGCAGCCTCTGCCACCCCTCCTCCCCAAGTTCGCCTCTTCCCTGGGGATGCTCCTGGGACTACCCAGTCGCCACTCAGCCTGGGGGGTGGGGAGAGCTGAGCTGTCCCATCACAACCCCCCCCCCCAAAGTCCTCCTTCTCCTCCTTTTTCTCCTCCTCCCCAGGGATGCTTCTGGGACTAGGTGATCTCAGAATTCCCCGCTGCCTTTAAATCTTTGATCCTAATTATCAAATATTCATTCTTCACCTTGAATTCAAGTGGTCTCCCTGGAGCTCTAGCCTCTTCTCCAGATCAGCCATTTGGAACTGATCAGATCAGTCTACTGAGAGGTTATGGAGGTCGGTGGGGACTGACGAAAGGGCAGTGGAGCTGGAGTCCAAAGATGTGGTTTTCAGTTCAGTTTGAAGTGTTACCATTGTGACCTTGAGCAAGTCATCAAATCAAGCTGAGCAAAGAGAATCACACAAGGTGTGGTGACTTTGAATGTGAAAGCTCTTATGAGCTGAGTGAATGATTGCGCAGAGTGGTGTATATGGCTATAAGAATCATTTTTATATTGGCAACTTGAAGGTTTTACAGAAATGTTCCTCATAGCCACCCTAAAAACATAGTGTCATATTCTTATTATTTATTCTACCCTGTAAAGTTTAATGATCATTTTTCTCAGTGGATGAGTGATGGTGAAAAAATTTTTGTTAACTGAATTGGGTGAGACAGAAGCTGGAAGAATGGGGAATATTTATATTTTGCATTTTCTTTCAGATGGTGACATTAGAACTGGAACCAGTGAGTCAGCTCCAAAGCTGGGCCCTTCTGTGGAAGAAGCATCCTTTGAGCGACTCACAAGGGGTGGTTCCTGTATCTCTAGTTTCAGAAAAGCTGGAGCATGTACTTCAAGGTTAGAGGGACAGCCAGACAATAAAGAACAAAATCTTCATAAACGTGATACCCACAGAAAGAGCTTCAGGCTACAGCCAGGCCGAAGAAGATATCACCGAATCTGCTTAAAGAAGATATTTTCCAAGTATAACGAGTGTGGGAAACCCTTTGATTATAATTCAGGTCTTATTGACTATCGACTCATTCATGCTGCAGAGAAACCTTTTGAATGTAATGAATGTGGCAAAGGCTTCCGCTGGAGCACCGAACTTACCGTCCACCAGAGAATTCATACTGGAGAAAAACCTTATGAATGTAATGACTGTGGGAAGGCCTTCCGCCAGAGCTCGCAACTGACTATACATAAGAGAATTCACACTGGAGAGAAACCTTACGAATGCCTTGAATGTGGGAAGGCCTTTCACCAGAGCGCAGGACTTACACAGCATCAGGCAATCCATTCTGGAGAAAAACCTTTTGAATGTAATGAATGTGGGAAAACCTTCCGCCGGAGTTCACAGCTTACAGGACATCAGAGAATTCATACTGGAGAGAAACCATATAAATGCAGTGAATGTGGAAAAGACTTCCGGCAAAGCTCACAGCTGACGATACATAAAAGAATTCACACTGGAGAGAAACCTTATGAATGTCGTGGATGTGGGAAGGCCTTCCACCAGAGTGCAGGACTTATGCAGCATCAGAAAATTCACACTGGAGAGAAGCCTTATGAGTGTAGTGAATGTGGGAAGGCCTTCCACCAGAGCTCACAGCTGACTGTCCATCAGAGAATTCACACTGGAGAAAAACCATATGTATGTAAGGAATGTGGGAAGGCCTTCCACTGGAGTTCACGGCTCACACAACACCAGAGAATCCACACTGGGGAGAAACCTTATGAATGTAATGACTGTGGAAAAGCCTTCCGCCAGAGTTCTCAACTCCTTGTACACCAGAGAATCCATACAGGAGAGAAACCTTACGAATGTAAGGAATGTGGGAAGGCCTTTCATCGAAGCACAGGCCTCACACAACATCAGAGAAGTCACACTGGAGAGAAACCTTACGAATGTAACGAATGTGGGAAAACCTTCCTGCAGAAGTCATGGCTTACTGTCCATCAGAGAATTCACACTGGAGAGAAACCTTATGGATGTAAGGAGTGTGGAAAGGCCTTCCGCAGGAGCTCACAGCTGACTCAACATCAGATAATTCATACTAGAGAAAAACCTTTTGAATGTCACGAATGTGGGAAGACTTTCCACCAGACTTCTCAGCTTATTCGGCATCAGATAATTCATACTGGAGAGAAACCGTATATTTGTAATCAGTGCGGGAAGGCTTTCCGACAGAGTAAACACCTTACTCGACATGAGATAATTCATACTGGAGAGAAACCCTATGAATGCAACGAATGTGGAAAGGCCTTCCGCCGGAGCATAGAACTTACACGACATCAGACAATTCATAGTGGAGGGAAACCTTTTGAATGTAATGAGTGTGGGAAAGCCTTCCGTCTGAGAACAAGACTCACTGAACATGTGAGAATTCACACTGAAGAGAAGCCTTATGAATGTAATGAGTGTGGGAAGGCCTTCCGCCAGAGTGCCGGACTCATACAGCACCAGAGAATTCACACTGGAGAGAAGCCTTATGGATGCAGTGTGTGTGGGAAGGCCTTCCGCCAGAGCTCACAGCTTATTCGACATCAGAGAATTCACACTGGAGAGAAGCCTTATGGATGCACCATCTGTGAGAATGCTCTCTGCCTGAGTAAACACCTTACTCCACAGTACACTACCCAAGTTGGAGAGAAGCCTTAGGAAGGTAAAAACCATATGAATGTAATGAACATGAGGATTTCAGCCAGAGTACACACTATTACTTTATTGTAGAGAACTTATACCAAAGGAGATCTTCTAGATGAAGCAAGTCACTATCCCCTTTCCCACAGTGGCCATTCCAAACCATTTCCTTTCTCACGCCTCAAGCCTTCCATTTCCTCCAGTGTCTACACTTTCCCCCCAAGATTGAGTCTCACTAAATTGAACCGATTTCTTAAGTTCCACAACCATACAGTTCTTATAAATGTCAATTGCTTTCTCTTAGGCCTTTTAGTGACAGAAAATCACAAAACCACCTAAGTAGAGACGTGGCCCTCGGGTCATCTTGTGCAATCTCTATGCTTGGAAAAACCTTAGCTCGAACATATAAAACAAGATGGAAATGTTTCCTCTCTCAGAGAGTGCCAGTGTTAGAGCCGTAAAGGACCTCCGAGGCCTCTAGTCCAACCTGTTCCTAGACAAGAACACCCTCGACAGCAGACCTGACAGTTGGTCATTCAAGCTTTGCTGGAAGACCTCTTGTGGGGGTGGAAACCTTTTTGTCTTTATGCACTCCATTTCTGCACAAGCTCCTCCTATTACTTGGTTCTGTCCTCTGGTGTCAAACAGAAAGAAGTCCACATTCTAGTCTTTCAAATACATGACTGTATCTATCATGTTCCCCCATTGCTCAAATACTTGACAATACTGATCCTGTTTCTCTCTCCCCCAACCCAGTATCCAATAATCTGCCTGCTCTCTGCGTGATCTCTGGCTCCACTGATTCCAGCCACCTGAACTGAACAGAATTCTCCAGATGGTATCTGACAAGGGCAGAGTTAAGTGCCAGATGCTATCGCTAGACGCTTTCTCTAATCTCACTACTAATCAAATGAATACAAACTCCAATCCTTGATAGTCTGGCCTATCTAACACTGGCCCATATCCCTTCTTTGCATCTTGTGTAATCATCTCCAGAATCCTTCTGGTATTAGTATTCCCACTTTGTAGACGAGGAAATCGAGGCTTGGAGAAGTTATGACTTGTCCATGGTAACATTAATGTTATGTCTTCGGTAAGTCACTACTCACCATTTCAATGCCTTGCAATCTCCTTTCCCAACCATTTTGATCTCTCAAAGCTCACTGGGAAACCTCTTTATTGCTGTTCAATCCAAATCGTCCTTTGCCTTTAGTAGGTATTTCACAGTGATGGTTGCCATTTCCTTTTTGATAATCTCTTCTCATCTTTGGAGAGAAGCAGCTTAGCTTAGCTCTCTTAGCTGACCAGTGTTATAAACAAAGAACATGGCTTGTAAAATCCCTTTCTAACAAACCTGTAAGGTAGGTGGGGCAAATATCCCCATTCTATAGATGACATCAGGAAAGGCATTGAAGGATTTCCTGTGGTCCAGCAGCTAGTCAGTGCTAACGTGGAATTCTGATCTAGCCTGGCATTCTTTTCACTGTATCATGCTGGTATTCCTCCTTTATCTTTCCTTCTTTGTCTCCTTTGCTGGGTCCTTGATCTTTTCCCAAGTCCGAGAGGGAAAGCTGGGTGCTCTCCAAGGTCCTATCCTTGACTGTCTTCTTTTTATAATCACCTTGATGTCAGAGGCCCAGGGACCAAGTCACCCCTTTCTCTTACTCGCTGTGACCTTGGCAAGTCACCTTCTGGGAGCCTGTTTCCTCTTCTGGAAATGGGGGTGGGGTGGACTAGACCCCAAGTCTGGGCTCTAAACAGATAACCCTATAAATCCAGCCCTGTGGCGCTGTCATTTCTGCCAGAAGGACCGTGATTCTCCCAGTGTCATTTCTTCCTGATAGCTGTCTCCCAGCTGTGTGGAAGGTTGGCATCTGGACGTGCTCAAGGGGATCTTTATTCAGTCTAATTCTGCTTTACCTTTGTCAGGTACTTAGCAATGTTGTTAACCCGTTCCTTTGGAATACTTGCTCATCCTTTGCCTTTGGAAACACCACACTCTCTTCTCTTTGCCTGCCTCTTGGAGGTCAGAAATAGCAGGGCGAGTTGCAAAGAGGCCAGTTTCAGCTGGATACCAGGAAAATGTTCTGAACTGGAGCCAGCCCAAAGGGGAATGGGCCGCCATTTAAAGCAGCAGCCACAGTGAGCCCCCGAGCATGGCTGCAGGAGCACTTGTCAGGCCCCTGTATGGGGGATTCTTGCACAGGGGCCGGCCCAGGAGGCTGTGTGCCAGGCCCTGGTGAGGCACATGCAGAAGTGATACAGCCCCTGCCCTACGATGCTTTACTTTCTCCTGGGGGATACAACTCGTTCACAGAAAAGCAAATACAGGATCTCACATTGGGGAGGCCCTCGCAACTGGGAAATGAGCAGGAAGGAGGTGGCAAATGAGCTGAGCCTTGGAGGGAGACAGGAGAGGAGGGGGAGGGGGACGGTCTTGTTCAGAGAACAGTTGAGTATCTACTCCAGTTTAGCGGAGCGTGGGCAGGAGGGAGTCGTGTCATCTCCTGGAAAGGTAGTGGGGGAGCCTCCAAATGCCAAAGAGGACCTGGCATTTTGTCCTTTGGGGAAAGGGGCCACTGCAGCTTTACCGGTGAGTGATGTGGCCAGATCAGTGCTTTAGCACTGTCTGTCTGGCAGCTCTTTTAGCAGTGGGATATGAGTGTCCAGTAACGGAGGGGATGGTCGAGCAAATGGTGATCTGTGGAGGTGATGGAATATGACATTGACAGAAATGACAAGACATGAAAATGCCCAGGAAGTGACGGAGTAGGGAAAGTAAAGGCGAGAAAGCAGTGTCCACACTGGCTGCAGATACACCGACCACCACCACAGAATCTGGAGAATCCCCAGAGGAAATAAAAAGAAGTAAAGGGGATATTTTTGGATGATTTTGTTAAATTTGGTGCACACTTAAAAAGTACATATTGGAAATGCAGAGGCCATGGCAGGACCGGGTCGTGTGTGTCAGTGTTTTTGTTGATTATGAAGTTTAGAATAAAGAAAAGCACTTTCCAGTTAAATGTGATTAATAAAATTCACTGTGACAGCCCAAGTTTTCAAATTAACGTTAAAAATAATGAGGAGAGGTTCCCCGAGCCTTGTTGCAGGGACCTCCAGGTGTCTCTGATGTGCCAGTGACGTCCCTAGTCTCAAAGCATGGAGCAACGCGTGATTATTCTGGACGGCACTGGGGACCTCTGGGGCTGCCTGAAACCAACAGCCACCTAAAGACCATGGAGTTTCCCGGTTACTAGTTTGTGATGAATGTCCTGGCAATTGCTTCATTTCCTGTTCATTTTGACACAGGTAAAGCCCTGGTCCCTTCCTGCAACCCCCAGAAGACTCCATCTCAGGAAAAAGACAGCACCCAGAGGGCAGATTGGCCTGAAGGCTGTGGAGAAGAAAGGAGATCTGGGGAAGCAGTAGTAATAGAAAGAGGCAGGTTTAGGCTTGCTCTCAGAAAAACTTCCTAACAACGAAAGCCGTCCCCAAATTGGGTGGGGTGTTTAAAGAGGAGCCGGGGCCACAGCTGATTTAGGTGGCTTAACCTCAACTGCACTTTCAGGGCTGCAGACAACCCTTCTACACCCCCCTATGTAGCCTGCTATCCCAAGCACCACAGCAGATCTTCCAAACCTTTTCGTCCCACATCTGCCATCGTCCACTTTCTCAGCTGAGAACCTTATCTCCTATTATTTCACTGAAAAAAAAAAAAACAAAACCAAAACATGCCGTTTGCCAACCTCTCATCTCACATCACTGAGAGGCTGTCTACCATCATCTCCCCCACCCTTGTTTAACGTGAAAGCTGACCGTTTCTGCCAGGGTGCAGCATGCATCCAGCATGCACAAGTGACCCCATTCCCTCCTGTCTTCTCCAGCATACTTCAACCTTTGTCATTCCTACTCTCACTAATCTTTCATTTTTCTACTGGCCATTTCCCTGCTGCTTACAAACATTCCCAAAAAACTCATTTCCTCCATGCCACTCACCACCATTCTATGGCCTTCCTTTTGTGGCTAAACTTAGGAAGCCAAATGCAGTAGATACCTCCGTTTCCTTCTCATTTTTCAATGCTGCAGTCTGCTTCTGACCTCATCCTCCCAACAAAACTGCTCGTGCTTTGTTTATTGCCAGATCCAGCTGCTTTTTTTCAGTCCTCATCCTTGACCTCTCTGCAGCCTTTGGCCCTGTCACTTACCTTCTTCTCAGTGCTGTGTTCTCTAGGTTTCTGTGACACTGTTCTTTCTTGGTTCTCCTGCCTGTCTGACCCTTCCTCGTCTGCTTTGCTATGTCCACAGGTCATTCATCCAGGTCACTACTGATAACTGTGGGCCTTGTCCTGAGCCCTCTTCTCCCTCCGTACTATTTCACTTGGTGATCTCAGCTCCCGTAAATTCAGTTATCTCTTTCAGGTGATTCTCGGCTCTACTTGTCCAGTCCTAACCTTACTCTTAATCTCCAGTCTCTCGTCTACAACTGCCTATCCTACATCTTGAGCTGAATGTCCCATAGACGTCTTCAACTCAGCCTGTCCAAAACTAAACTCATTCTCTTTTCCCCCTCTTCCTAACTTCCCTGTTGAGGCCAAAGAGTCCTTCCGGTGCCCTAGGATTGTAACCCAGATGGGGCCCTTGACTCCAGACTCTTAGCCCCACATCTGATCTGTTGCCAAAGCCTGTCGATTTCACTTCCAGCATCTCTCAACTCTCCCTTCTCTCCTCTGACCCTGCCCCACCCTGGTGCAAGCCCTCATCACCTCACACCTGGGTTATTCTATCTGCCTCAAGTCTGTCCCTGCTCCTGTCCACCTCCATTCAGCCTTCAAAGTGACTTTCCTAAAGTGCAGGTCTGACTGTGTCACCCCCCCCCCCCACCACCTCCAAAACTCCAGCAAATTTCTGTCGCCTTGAGGATCAGATATAGAATCCTCTATTTGGCTTTTAAAGCCCCACATAATCCGGACCTACTTTTATAATTACCTTACTCTCCTCCATGTACTGAGATCCAGTGACTCGGCCTCCTTGCTGTTCCTCACCAAGACGCTCCATCTCCTAACTCTGCAGTTTCACTGGCTATCCATTCCTCCCCCCCCCATTCTTGGAATTCAGTCCCTCCTCATCTCCATCTCCTTCCCTCGCTTCCTTCAAGACCCAGCTAAAATCCCCCCCTCTTCTGTAAGAAGCTTTTCCCAATTTCTCCTTAATGCCAGTGGCTTCCCTCTGTTGATTATCTCCAACTTATCCTGAGTTCAAATCCAACCTCAGATATGTGCTAGCTGTATGACCTTGGACAAGTCACTTCACCCTATTTGCCTCAGTTCCTCATCTGTAAAGTGAGCTGCAGAAGGGCATGGCAAACTCCTCCAGCGCCTTTGCTGAGCAAACCCCAAACGGGTCGTGAAGAGTCAGACACAACTGAAGCGCCTGAACGATACCCACGATCCTGTCTGTGTTTTGTTTGTGTATAGTTGTCTGCATGCTTCCTCCGTCAGACTGTGCGCTCCTTGAGGGCGGGCAGTCATGTCTTTGCCTTTGTACCCCACTGCTTAGCGCACTGCCTGGCGCATACTAGGTGCTTAATAAATGCTTGCTGACTGGCTGCTGTCGTCTCCTTCCTGCGTATGGTGAGAGTAGGTGAAATATTTGGCCTCGGATTCACAAGAATCATGGCATTTCAGATTTGGAAGGGATGTCATTGGCTGGCTGGACCCTCAGTCTAACACCCGGATGCTGGAAGATCACTTCTGCCCTGGAGCTTGCTTGGGAAGCAGCACCGGGCTCTGCCCCGAGGGTGCAGGACTCCTCTGAAGCCAGCCCTCCTTCCATTTACTTCCCTGCGGGCTACAGCCACTATTGCCTGCTGATCTGTCGTCTTCCCCGTTAGAATGCAAGCTTCCTGAGAGCAGAGGCTTTCTTTTTGCTTCTTTGTGTTTTCCCAGTGTTCTAGCATGTGCCTTGCACATAGTAGGTGCTTAGTAAATATTTCTTGCCTGCCTTGGCCATCTAGACCCATTGTTGGAGCCTGGAGAGTATGGGACTAGGCCGGAGACTGAGCATTGAGTGTGGAGAATGGCGAATTGGCGAGCCTGGCAGGACTGTAGTATGCGTGCAGGGGACGTGTGTGTAAGAAAGCTAGAAATGAGAAGGGACCAATGTGCAAAGTTCTAAGTGCCCAACAGCGGACTGAACATACATTTGATCCTGGGGTAAAAGGTGCCACGGAGTTGATACAGGTGAGGAAACTGAGGCAAACAGGGTGAAGTGACTTGTCCAGGGTCACACAGCTAGGAAGTGTCTGAGATCAGATATGAACTGGGGAAGATGAGTCTTCCTGACACAGGCCTGGAGCTGTACTCTGTGCACCATGGCGCCCCCTAGCTGCCCCTCCAGGTCCTGTGCTCTGTGCACCATGGCGCCCCCTAGTGGGCCTTCCATCTCTATAGTCTCTGATTATGGTCCAGTCAACCCTGGTCTCCTCGCTGTTGCTGACAATCCACCTCCCATGTCCAGGCCTTTGTCCTGGCTGTGCCCTGTGCCTGGAATGCACTAACTTTCTTCGATGATCTGCTGCCGATCGCTTGGCATCTTTTCTGCGTCCTCATGCATGTGCATTTCTGTCCTCCTCTCCCTCACTTTGGGGGTAGGGGAGTGTACCATGCCTATGCATACAGCAGGCGCCTAATAAAGGCTTGTTGCTCGATCCCAGGCCCGACTGTGTGCTCCGCACTGTGTCCTGGGCAGATCATCCAGATCCTCCTCAGGCCTTGGCTGTTAGCACAGACAACGAGGCTCCAGGGTCCTAAAACGCCGCCCCTCCCAGAGGCACGTTGCACTCCTCCCGGACCTGACCAATGGGAGCATCCGCTTGCCTTGCGGGCGTGGCCACTGCCCAGCGGCAAGAGCAGACTGCGCATGTGCGTCGGCAGCATCCTTGCTCCTCTCACCTGCCGGAAGTTGCCTGACTCCTCCGCCGCCGACCCCGCCCCAGTTCCGCCCTCGCCTTCGGCCTTGGCCTCCACTCGCTCCTGCCCCGGGATTCGGGACGAGGCCTAGGCCCAGCGGCATTGCTGCTGGAGGACAGAGCCAGAGCCCCAGAGGCCCCATGCGCGCGTCCCCCCTCCCTTTCGGGCTGAGACGGAAATGACGTCATCGGTGAGCCTGAACCCCGCCCGGAACTTGGGATTCCTCCAGGCTTTCTGGGAAATGTATTCCCGAGGCCGAGGCTGCACGTGCGCATGCCCGGAGCCGGCTGCCGAGGAGGGGCTTGGCCCCTGGCTGGGCTTAGGGGAGAAGCTTGCGGGAGCTGCCCCGCAAGGGAGGAGAGAGTAAAGGGTTAATTATTAAAAAGTTGTGAAAATAAAGGCGCTTCGTCCAAGTGGACTGCGAGCACGCGGAAAGGAGGAGGCTGTGGGCGAGGGGCGGGAGCAGAGGGACCCGGAGGAGAAGACTGGCGCGCCCCCCACCGTCCCCCTTCAGTAAGGAACGTAGCAGGATGCGCTTGAAAGTGGTAACTTGTCAATGTCGCTGTGCGCGGCTCAAAGGCTCCAACTCATCCGGGCTGTAGACGAGCGCTTCCATTTCTGGTTGCCTGACTGCAGGAACGTAGAACTGGCGACTTCACTTAAACAGGGGTTAATAAAAGGTCCTCGTTTTTTCCATCGGAAGCCCCAACGGCGATCGCCAAGGAGCCGCAGCACAAAACAAACCCCAGATTGCAGAAACACAGGCAGCCGTTTAAAGGCGCACATTTTATACCTCACTGAGTTACCAGAGGACAGAGGCTTGGCATGCCTTTAGAGCGAATTTCGTCTTCATCGGGTCACTTGATTTGTTAGCAAGCCTCTGTGAAGCACATACTAGGAGCGAGCAAAGTGCTGGCAATGTGAAATAAGCAAAAAGAAAGCCAGGCCCTGCCCCCAAAGAGCTCCTGTTCTAATCACAGAGCTATCTACTATACTGCCTCTTCATGGGGGAAATTCTACCTTGAGGTGTGCCTGGTCATACAGATCTCTATTACACTACCTCTTCATAGGGGAAAGTGTAACTTGGAGTGGGCCTAGTCACAGAGCTCTCTGTTACACTGCCTCTTCATAGGGG